TTTGGTCATGTGAGGAGGAGGAGCACAGATGCTTCAGTGAGGAGGTGTGAGACGTTGACATTGGAGGGCCTACATAGAGGTCGAGGTAGGCAAAAGAAGAGGTGAGGAGAGGTGATTAGGCAAGATATAGCGCAACTTCAGCTGACCAAGGACATGACCCTTGATAGGAAGGTATGTAGGTCGAGGATTAGGGTAGTAGAGTAGGTAGTCTAGGGTGTTCATAACAGTAGTATTGGTACGCAGTCTCGCTTTTGTTGGTAGTAGGTTTTTATGACTAACCGTCATTTTCTTTCGTTGTTGATCACCTTACTATCTTGTTGTCTTTATTATGCTTTTATATGGCTTTTTGGGTACTATCCTTCTTGTCTATATTTTCATTAATGTGGTGCTTATGCTTTCCTAAGCGGACGAGGGTCTATTGGAAACAACCTCTCTATCCTCACAAGGTAGGGGTAAGGTATGCGTACACACTACCCTCCCCAGACCATACGGTGTAGGATAATACTAGGTATGTTGTTGTTGTTATTAGGGAATTAATGTCAGAAATCTACTATGTCATATACATTGAATCTCCTATATTGAATCTCGCAATTCTTTTTGGTGTGGAGCAATGTATATATTAAATTATTTATTCGGATTTGTATTACTTAGATTTGTTTGTATAAAATACAATTCAACGAGTAACATAATAAGTTGGGATTTGTTAGAGTTTCTTTCCTGTTTCTTTCTTTTTTCTCTTTTGATATCTTTTTGTCATTCTTATTTTTCAATTTTTCCTTTTAATTGGTATTATAATTGTACTATATAGTTGAGCAAGATATTGTGTAAAATATATTTTTCACATGAAAAAACAATTGTAGGAGATAACAAAATATAGTTCTTTTACAAGAATTTTATGATGGAAGATAGATAGCTACACTAATAATGTAACGACCCGACCGGTCGTTTTGAGTTCTAGCGCGTCGTTCAGCAGTCTGAGGCCATAAACAGCTTCATTTCAGGTATTATGACTTGTACGCGTGGTCGGATAAGTTTCGGGAACTTCAGAGTTGATTTGGAAAGAGAATTCTCATTTCGGAAGCCTTAAGTTGAAAGAATTAACTAGGATTGGAATTTTGAGTAAACGACCTCGGAATCGGTATCCGAAGGTTCCAGCAGGTTCGTATGATGATTTCGGACTTGGGCGTATGCCCGGATCGGGTTTTGGATGACCCGGGAGTGTTTTGGTGCCTATTGTGGAAAGTAGCATTTTGAAAGAAATTTCATAAGTTTGGGTTGAAGTTCATTTCGGTGATATCAATGTCCGTTTGGGATTCCGAGTCTGGGAGCAGCTCCGTATGGTGATTCTGGAGTTGGGAGCACGATCGGAAGTGAATTCGGAGGTCCGTAGGTCATTTTGGAGCCATTTGGCTAAAGATAGAAATTTGAAGGTTTTTGAGAAGTTTGACCGTAAGTGGACTTTTTGATATCGGGGTCGGAATCCGATTCCGAAAGTTGGAGTAGGTCCGTAATGTCGAATATGACTTGTGTGCAAAATTTGAGGTCAATCGGACGTGATTTGATAGGTTTAAGCGTCGAAAGTAGAAGTTTGAAGTTCTAAAGTTCATAAAGCTTGGATTGGAGGTCGATTCATGATTCTAGCGTTGTTTGATGTGATTTGAGACCTCGAGCAAGTCCGTAATGTGTTTTGGGACTAGTTGGTATGATTGGTTGGGGTCCCGGGGGCCTCGGGTGGATTTCGGGTGGTTAACGGATCGAATTTGGGTAAAAAGCTGCTGCTGGTTGCTGGTATCTGGTTTCCTTCTTCGCGAACGCGGAGGGAGTCTCGCGAACGCGAAGAGGAAAGTGGGAGGCTGCTGGTTTTAGCCTTTGCGAACGCGAAGGGGGAGTCGCGAACACGAAGGGTGGGCTGAACTGCTACGCGAACGTGAGGAGGAGATCGCGAACGCGTAGAAGGAAAAAAAGCTGGGCCTGGGTCTTTGGCCTACGCGAACGCGAGGCCTTGTACGCTAACGCGAAGGGCTGGGTGACTGGCCTTCGCGAACGCGAGCGGAATGTCGCGAACGCGAAGAAGGGCGGACCTGGGTTGGGCAGAATGTTTAAAAATCGGGGTTGAGTTCATTTCACCCATTTCTCTCTTGGCTTGGGCGATTTTTGGAGCTTTTGGAAGAGGGGTTCTGTCAGTCATCATGAGTTTTGGAGCGTTGTGTGTCGATTCGAGTCTTCGGGAAGGGCGTGGAATGCCGGTTATGGATCTTCGGAGCGAGGTGAGTCTCCTTTATAACCTTGTAAGAGGGAATTGTCCCCATAGGTGAAATAATTGATTATGTGCTCCTATTTGTGGGGGCTACGTACGCACGAGGTGACGAGAGTCCGTACGTAGCTACTATTATGCTATTGTCCGGGTCGTTAGGACCCAAAAGCATGCTATACTTGGATTATTTACGAACCTATTGATGTCTTGAATTGCTTAAGTCACATAAACGAGTTTCTAAACAGATAAAACTTCATTTTTCTTAAAAGGTTAAAAGAGGATTTGTTTTCATTAGATAATTACTCCGTGTGGATTCTTGATTGACTGTCTGTGTGTTTATTTATGGAACGGGCCGAACGCCTCGGTAGATTAAATAGATGCATCTATGGTTCGCAGTTCGACCCTCGCAGTGCACAGTTTATTTTCTGTTGGAGCGGCCCGTACGCCTCGGCATGATTTGCGCATGCTTGTATTGCTGCCTTGAACTTATTGAAGTTGTTATTGCCTCTTTATGGCTTGAGAATATTTGGATAATGATGAAAAGGAAATTTTGGGAAACTTCCTATAAAAGAAATAATTGTTTACTTGTTTCCTCCTATTGGATTAAAAATCATGTTTATAAGAGTCCACGATTTAATAACTTATGACATCATTATTGGACCACTAGTAAGTGTCGAAGTCGACCATCTCGTCTCTACTTCTTCGAGATTAGACGGGAAACTCATTGAATACACGTTGTTTTCATACTCATACTACACTTCTGTGCATTTTTGTTGCACAGGTATATGTAACTCTAGTGGCCTACTGGGCGTAGCAGCACGGATGATTCGGGGACTAGGTGAGTTGCATTATTCGAGGCGGCCGGCAGCTAGTATAGTCCCTTCCAGTATATTGTATTTACTTTCTGTCCACTGTATTCCGGACGGATGTTGTATTATATCATTTCTTAGAAATTGCTCATGCACTTGTGACACCGGGTTCTGGGAATGGTTTTGAAATATTTTGTATTAATTGCTTGTTATTTAATTTGAATTGAAGCAGTTGTCTCTTTACTTATGAAATTAGAAGGAAAAATCTGGGTTTTCAAAATGGTCTAAATTAGAATCTAATTAAGTATTTTAGTTGGCTTGCCTGACAGCAGTGTCCGGCGCCATCACGACCCTCATGGATTTTGGGTCGTGACAAATATTTATCAAATTCATAAAATAAAGTGATCTTATATTTGAAAGTGGATGTTAAAATATTTCATTATGTGTTGGTGAAATTACAAGTAATTACATTTGAAAATAAGATGAAGAAAAATAAATAAATATTCTTCAGGTTGAGGAGCAGATATCTCGCGCTCTTTAAGGAGATCAAGCCCACTGCAGTAGCATCTTCACCGGTCCAGCAGTAATACTCTTGACATGTCCCCTCCAGGATACAACAACCCGACAACGTCGTATGACTCGAACAAACTCTGGATAAGTTGTTGAGTCCAAAGCTCCACCAAAATGAACACCTTCCTTCAACAAAAATAATATTCTCTTTTGTAGAGAATAAGTTGGAGACATAGATTTTCTCCTTCTCATAAATCTCTTTTTCACTACACCAAGTTCACTTTTTTCATACACACTACCACATTTTCCTCACACCAAACACAAGGAAGAAACATCACTATTTATAGGTGTATAATTTCTTCCTTGAAATAAATAAAAGTAGTGGCATAATAAAGTTATAGAACGTGGTTGGTGGTTACAAAATTGAGAATTTTTCATAAAGCACCATCTTTTAGGTCTAATTAGCCATTTATAGATACCTTTTTCTATATTACGTGTTATAGATACCTTTTATGTTTTTATACAATGTATTTTTATGTATTTAAGCTATTATATTAATTAATACAATAGAAAAAATAGGCGTTAAAGAGGGAATTCCAGCTAAGGTTGATATGTATTTAACTGTATTCACGCGACATTATCGTGAATACAGTAACGTATCTGCGTAAAATCTGGAAGGTTAAACTAGTTAAAAACGGAAAGGAAATCAAATCACATGATATTCTCCTAATTTAACTCAACGAACAAAAACTAGTTCCCATTAATCTGTATTCTGCCATACACGATTCAAAAAAAAAGTAGCGAAAACCAGAGCAACATTTGTTCGAAGTTCTTCCATTTACTTCTCCCTTTTCTATGTTCGCAGATATCAATTCAACCATGGAAAATTAGATTGATACAAATTATATACAAAATACGTTATAGTTCCTTTATACATATGGAAAGTTTAACAGTGTTGTTGCGTCATTCTGGCAAGTGGAACGATAAGGGCAATTACATCGATTATTCAATTGAGGGAATACCGATAAAGGAGTATGCGTCCTTTAATGATTTGGTTGCTTCAATTTCTAATCAACTGGGCATAGATTTGAGCTCAAAGTCCATTAAAATTCAATACAAAGTAGAAGAAAATTGCACGCCAATGGAAATACACAATGATATGGGTTACAGAGTGTATGTAGAATTAAAACAAGAGAATAGAGAATTCGGGATGTATCCTTTGTGCATAACAACTATTGAAAAAGAACTTGTATCCGGAGGTAGTTTAAATCAAGGCGACATTGTCCAAATAGACGAAGCAGTTCAAAGGTACGATTCCGATACAGATGATACACTGGCTCTAGATTTTGTCAATTCAGGAGAAGCAATTGGGGGTGTTCGAACTGGACAAGGATTTGATAATTTCCAAAACTAATCAAAGGGAGGTTATGGCTGGACAAGTGTATAAGGATAAGGCTACATTGAAAGAGGTGATGGAGAATTATGCTATATCTCAAAGGTTTCAATTCCGGGTTGATAGGTCTAATGCTGTCAGGTTTGAATGTATTTAATTTTTTTTTTTTTTGTATTTTCTATTATTGGTTCGAGCTGTAAGTTTAACGTTGTTGTATTTATGCGTATTTATGTATTTCCTCTTGATTATCACAGATGTAGTAAACATATGTTTGTTTATGGTCCTTAAATACATGTATTCATATGTATTTTACTGGTATAATTACATTATCAGAATGGTAAAATCGCCAAAAAATAAATTCATGTACGTGTATATATCTTTGTATGCTGCTTGGGCGTGTATATATCTTTGTATGCATATAAAAATATAAAAATACATTGCTATAATTATTCTCTTATTTTGTCTACTGTGGTTTTAAGTGTATGCATATACCACCAATTGTATTCAGTTGTATTCATTGTATTTAAATGTATATAACTATAACTGAATTCAGTAGTATAAAAATTTATATATATATAGATGTCAGGATGTATCTATGTCAGATTGTATTCGTGTGTATATGAGTGATTTTTTTTTTGTAAACACTTATGCTAATCATATGTACAATGATTAATTCTTTGCAGGTATGCATTATTATGTATTTCAGAAGATTGTGAATGGAGGTTTAAGGCTTCAAGCATTAACAAATCAGAACTATTCAAAGTGAGAGAATTCATTGATAACCATACATGTCCGCTGAAGGACAAGGTGTATGAGCAGCGGCAGGCAAGTAGCAGCCTTATAGGTGGTATGATTAGGCCTAAGCTTACTAATCATAAGAGGAAATACACCCCAAAGGATATTATTGATGATGTGAAATCAAATTTAGGTGTAGATGTTAGCTACATGTTGGCGTGGAGGGCTAAAGAAAAGGCAATAAATTTTTTGAGAGGTGAACCGGCTGATTCATACAAAAAATTACCAGGATACTTATATACAATGGATATGACATATCCAGGTTCCCACATCAGAATGGTAAAATAGCCAAAAAATGAATTCATGTACGTGTATATATCTTTGTATGCCTTTATAAAGGGGTTTGATCATCGTAGACCCATTGTTGTTGTGGATGGAAGTCACCTAAAATCTTACTACACCGGGACATTCGTTTCGGCAAGCACGTTGGATGGTGCAGGTGAGTATCTGAATTATAATACCATCTGTTAATATTTTAAAGATTGAAATACATGTTTTAAAAATATGTATTCAATTGTTTTTATAGGTCATACATTGCCACTAGCATATGGTGTTATTGATTCAGAGAACGATGCTACTTGGACGTGGTTCTTTGAGCAATTCAAGATAGCATACGGTGACAGGGAAAACATGTGCATCGTTTCAGATAGAAATGAGAGTATCATTAAATCTGTATCGAGAGTGTATCCAGATGTACCGCATTTTGCTTGTATATGGCATCTATGGAACAACGTATATAAGAAATTCAAAAAGAGCCATGCCAAGTTGAGCGAGATATACTTCTCGATGGAAAAAGCATACACACAAGCTGAATTTGACAGTCTGATGGAGAAGGTGGAGAAGGTAGATATTAGGGTGAAAGAATACTTAGAGTTAGCTTGTCACGACCCGGATTTCCCACCCTCGGGAGTCGTGATGGCGCCTACTATTAGGAGCTAGGCAAGCCAATTATTTATTATCTCTTTTAGCAAACCTCGACATTATTAAAAACAACGAAACATTTAATAGAAAAGCGGAAGTCTTAAATATAAATAAACTGAAAGTAATGCGGAAGTTCAATACAACTCTACCCAAGAACTGGAGTCATAAACTCACGAACGTCTAGAGAATGCTAAATACAATGTCTGAATAAAAATATAGTTTTGTTTGTTCCGGTACAAAGGATAACAAACTAAAGTAAAGATAAAAGAAACTCCAGGCCTGCGGACGTCAGCAAGGCTACCTCGGTATCTCTGGACTGAAGTCAGCTCCCAAATCTACTATTGCTGTCCAAAAGCTGCTCCGGCACCGTGATCTGTGCAAAAAGATGCACAGAGTGTAGCATCAGCACAACCGACCCCATGTGCTGGTAAGTGCCTGGCCTAACCCCGGCGAAGTAGTGACGAGGCTAGACCGGACTACCAAACAAACCTGTGCAGTTCAATATATATGTATGCAATATAAAGGTATACAGAAATTAACAAGTCAAGGGGGGAGGGGGAGCATGCTGTAGGGGCTGTAACAATTCAGGTATAAAATCAATAATTAAGGAATGAAACAGTACAACTACAATATCAATGAGAGTAGGAAATCAACAGTTTCACGGCACCATCCTTCGTGTTTTTACTCTCATTCTCACCCAAACAATCATATAAAGTGCACGGCATCACCCTTCGTGCCTTACCTCACAAAATGATGGCACGGAATGATCCTTCGTGCATAAACACTCATATCATGGCACGGAATGTTCCTTCGTGCATTAGTAATCATATCATGGCACGGAATGTTCCTTCGTGCATTAGTATTCATATCACAATCGTGCACGACATCACCCTTCGTGCTTTATCACTCATCCTCACCCAAACAACAATCACAAACAATGGGGCGGGGGAATAAACAAACAAAATAGGAATCCCGGCAAGGGAACAATAACAACAATTTCAATATCCCGGCAAGGGAGAAAAAGTCTACCAAACAGCAAAACATCCCGGCAAGGGAATAACCAATAACTCATTAGCTTTCTTTCATTTCTTACTTCACATCTCACTTTATCACTTGAGCCAATGCTACCAAGAATTTTATAATCTCAGATACCTTTTCAATTCGTATCACCACCAAGCCAAAACACCACAAAAATCAAATGATTATAATGTTTTTCCCATGTTCTTTACAATATATAGAAATCCTCAATTAACATGGAATTCATAACAAATCATGATAATCACCCTTTAAGGACTCACGGTCATGCTAGACATCAATGTATAGATACTCGTCACCATGTCTATACATCGTACTCGATCAATTAGCAAATAGCAAACAAGACTCAACACATATTCCCTCAAGCTAGGGTTAAACCAAACACTTACCTCAAAGCCTTGAATTCCACTCAATCCTCAACAATCGCTTTACCCCGCGATTCCACCACCAATTTGCTCGAATCTAGTCACAAATTGCTCAATTACTTTAATAAACACTAAATGAATCAATTTGAATGCATAAAAATGAATTTCCCAAGTTTTTCCCAAAAATTCCAAAATCGCCCCCAGGCCCACGTGGTCAAAACCCGAGGTTCGAACCAAAACCCGGTTACCCATTCCCCCACGAACCCAAATATGTAATTTGTTTTGAAATCGAACCTCAAATCGAGGTCCAAATCCCCAATTTTTAGAAAAACCTAGGTTCTACCCAAAAACCCCAATTTCACCCATGAAAATCCTTGATTTTAAGTGGAAAACATGTTAAATGATGTTAAAGATTGAAGGAACTGAGTAAAAATCGACTTACAAATGTTTTGGGATGAAGTTTGTTCTTGAAAAATCGCCTATGATGTTTGGGTTTTGAAAGAATGGTGAAAAGTGACTTGAAATTCATCTAAGTATGAAAAATGCAGGTTGCAGATATGGGAAATGCGAAGTTGGGTTCGCAATTGCGAACCCTGCAGGCTTGGGAAATGCGACACTACTATTCGCATTTGCGAACTAAGGCTGGCCAAGGGACCTTCGCATTTGCGAAAATGGTCTCGCATTTGCGAACCAGTGGCCGTCGCATTTATGCGACGCCTGGCTTCGCATTTGCGAACTTTGGCTTGCTTAGGCTGGTTTCGCATTTGCGAAAAACCCTCCGCATTTGCGATAGCTGGCCTTCGCATTTGTGAACTCTGGATTCGCAAATGCGAAAACTGCAGATCAGCTGATACCAGGTTTTTTTCCAAAATGAAAAATGCAATCCGACACCTATCCAAAACTCACCCGAGCCCTTGGGGCTCCAAACCCATTATACACACAACCTCAAAAACATCCTACGGACTTACTCATGCAATCAAATCGCCAAAATAACATCAAAAACAACGGATCAAACCTCCAAACTCATGAATTCTTCCAAAATTTCATAAAACATAAATTTTCCATTTTAGGTCCGAAACACGTCAAACGACGTTCGATTTCAACCAAACTTTACAGAAAGCGCTTAAACCATATATAAGACTTGTACCGGGCGCCGGAACCAAAATACGAGCCCGATACCACAGTCTTTTAATTAAATTTCATTTCTAATTTCCTTAGTAATTTCAGAAAAATAATTTCACAGAAAAATTCATTACTCGGGCTCTAGACCTCGGAATTTGACTCCGGGCATATGCCCGAGTCCCATATTTTTCTATGGATCCTCCGGGACCGTCAAATCACGGGTCCGGGTCCGTTTACCCAAAATGTTGACCGAAGTCAACTATATTAATATTAATATCAAAATTTAGCATTTTTCACAAGGAGTTCATATTTAAGCTTTTCGGCTACGCGCCCGGACTGCGCATGCAAATCGAGGCGACTAAAAATGAGGTTTTCAAGGCCTCGGAAGCACGGTATGAATGAGAAAACAGGTGATGACCCTTTGGGTCGTCACATTCTCCACCTCTAAAACAACCGTTCGTCCTCGAACGGACAAAAGAAAGAAGTACCTGAGTCGGGAAAAAGATGAGGATAACGGCTCCGCATATCAGACTCGGACTCCCAGGTCGATGCCTCAGGAGGCTGACCTCTCCACTGAACACGCACTGAAGGAAAACTCTTCGACCTCAACTGTCGAACCTGCCGATCTAGAATAGCCACCGGCTCCTCCTCATAAGACAGATCCTTGTCCAACTGGACAGTGCTGAAATCTAACACGTGGGCTGGATCGCCGTGATACCTCCGAAGCATGGACACATGAAAAAACTGGATGCACGGCTGACAAGCTAGGCGGCAAGGCAAGCCTATAAGCCACCTCTCCCACACGGTCGAGAATCTCAAATGGGCCAATGAACCTAGGGCTAAGCTTGCCCTTCTTCCCAAATCTCATCACGCCCTTCATAGGCGACACTCGGAGCAAGACCCGCTCACCAACCATGAAAGCTACATCTCGAACCTTACGATCCGCATAACTCTTTTGCCGCGACTGAACCGAACGAAGCCTGTCCTGAATGATCTTGACCTTATCCAAGGCCTCCTGAACTAAATCTGTACCCAATAACCGAGCCTCTCCCGGCTCAAACCATCCGACTGGAGACCGACATCGCCTACCATACAACGCCTCATATGGAGCCATCTGAATGCTGGACTGGTAGCTGTTGTTGTAGGCGAACTCTGCTAAAGGCAAAAACTGGTCCCACGAGCCTCCAAAATCAATGACACAGGCTCGGAGCATATCCTCCAATATCTGAATAGTCCTCTCGGACTGGCCGTCCGTCTGAGGATGGAACGCTGTGCTCAACTGAACCTGGGTGCCCAACTCCTGCTGAACTGCTCTCCAGAAGCGCGAGGTAAACTGCGTACCCCGATCCGAAATAATAGATACCGGCACCCCATGAAGGCGAACAATCTCTCGGATGTAGATCTCAGCTAACCTCTCCGATGAATAAGTGGCTGCAACAGGAATAAAATGCGCTGACTTGGTCAACCTATCAACAATGACCCAAATAGCATCAAACTTCTTCCGAGTCATCGGAAGTCCAGTAACGAAATCCATGGTAATCCTCTCCCACTTCCACTCGGGAAGCTCAATCCTCTGAAATAGTCCACCAGGCCTCTGATGCTCGTAATTAACCTGCTGACAGTTCAAACATCGAGCCACATATGCAACAATATCTTTCTTCATTTTGCGCCACCTATAGTGCTGCCTCAGATCCTGATACATCTTCGCGGCGCCCGGGTGAATAGAATACCGGGAGCTATGGGCCTCCGCTAAGATCAACTCTCGAATCCCGTCAACATTGGGCACACAAACTCGCCCCTGCAGTCTCAAGACACCATCATCATCTAAGGTCACCTTCTTGGCACCTCCACGCTGCACCGTGTCTCTCAGGACACATAAATGGGGATCATCAAACTGCCAATCACGGATACGCTCCAATAATGAAGAACGAGCAACTGTGCAAGCTAACACTCGGCTAGGCTCAGAGATATCCAACCTCACAAATCGATTGGCCAAAGCCTGAACATCCAAAGCAAGCGGCCTCTGGCTGGCCGGGATATAAGCAAGACTACCCATGCTGGCGGACTTCCTACTCAATGCATCGGCCACCATATTGGCCTTCCCCGGGTGGTACAAGATAGTAACATCATAATCTTTCAGCAACTCCAACCACCTCCTCTGCCTCAAATTCAACTCCTTTTGCTTGAACAAGTATTGAAGACTCTTGTGATCAGTGTACACCTCACACGTCACACCATATAGATAATGCCTCCAAATCTTCAAAGCATGAACAATGGCTGCCAACTCTAGATCATGAACCGGATAATTCTTCTCGTGGATCTTCAACTGCCTCGAAGCATAGGCTATGACTCTACCATCCTGCATCAATACTGCACCAAGCCCAATACGGGAAGCATCACAATAGACTGTATAAGGCCCTGAACCTGTG